TCCCATGAGGAGGTGTAATGTCCCTATAAATAGGAAGAAAGTCTCATTTGTAGAGACCATCGAGAAGTTGTTGTAATCTATTGAGTTCTTATAATACAAGCACTCTTTCTATTCTTGAAGTGTTAGTCTCTTGCTTTCCAATTTCGTTAATACATCTAAGATCGTCGAAGTAGCCTGACTTAGTTGAAGAAAAACTAAGTGACACACGAGAAAGACTAGTAGTAAGAGTCATCCCATGACAACTGGGTTCAAATTCCCCAACCCGTGTTTTATTCTTTGAAACTTTGCATTTTTTTCCTTTGAAGGAAGCAAACACTGAGGTAGCTTCACCACTATCCGACCCGTTTGATTTCCAAAATTTACCTCTTTCTCTCTCTCTCAACATGACACTACCGCACACCGCAGTGCACTGTCACCATCTCCGATCACTTCCGCAGCTGTAGATCGCAACGGGTTCCTCTGTTCTTCTCCCCCGTCGACTTCACAATTCAGGCTCCTCCTTTTTTTTATAAGGGGTGCTACTCGTCGATGCTTAGATATATGGATTTTTGGGGAATGATTTATTTACATTTTGAGGTTACTTAGCACTTCGAATTGCATTCTTTTGTTTTGATTACAGTAGGTTTCGATGTGCACTCGGGAAGTGTTTTTGACTAAGTAGGTGTATTTTAAAATTTTTATTTATCAAATAGGTGTAGTTTTAAAAATATTTTCCAAATAGGTATAGTTAAAAATAGTAATAATAATAATAAAATAAAAAAATAAAACCTTAAGCTTTTATCCTATTTTCACTATTTTTCTTTAATAATTTTTTTTACTCTTTTGAAACCTTTTGCTATATATTTTTTATCAAATTTTTCACAAACACCATATTTACCTTTTGTTATTTCATTATCACAACTATTTTTTTTAATGCGAATAAATTTCCTAAATTATATATATAATTCATTTTCACTACAAATTTCAGAAATATAACAAATTTTGTACAATGCTTTTTATATAAACCTGTTAAGGGAAAATATAACTACAAATTAACTATCTAATAAAATTGATCAAAAGTGATACCTCTACTCTTCTCACTTGAATACATCCTAGTATAACAACAAAGTAGCATAAGCTCATAATTACTATGTGATAAAAAACTTTCCTCTAAAAAAAGAGGTTGTCATATTTTTTCGACAGAATAACAAATACTTTAACAAACTTTAAATTCTCATTATGTTTACCCCAAAGGCCCAAAGATATCAATGGACCATATACAAATATAAACCTGAGATGAGCAGCTCTATTAATCCTAAGATGAGCAGCTCATAAAAGTGAAATCCAAAACATAAACCCAAAATGCTAAAAAAATAAAATGCAAAAACCAAAATAATCAAACAAGGCTAGGAAACAAAGTATGCAAATTTAGGACGTGTTTGATACACCTCTTACCGAGTCCAGTAAGAGGTTAACTCTGACCGAGTCCCAAATCAGTATGTCTGTCTAATACACTTCAATTGAGCTCTTACTCGGTCCTGAAGTCGCTGACTCGGTAGCCTAATAAAAGTCGCTGACCGAAAGGAAAAACCTTAGTTGCCCTTATTTACCCTTTTCGTCTTCTCCTTCTTGTTGTCTGAGTTCCTTCTCCTTTGGATGATGACGATGACAAACCTATGAGACCTATCTTCTGTTTAAAATGGTAATTTCAATCCCATCGATCACGACATCATCGAACGTGAGTATTCAAGAAACGCATTAGAGAAGCAAATGAGCAATTGGGGTCAACTAGTCAAGAAATTGTTATTCTCTTCGAACCACCTTCAATTCCTCTCCATAATCAGTGATTTCTTCTCTCCGTTGGTAATGCGTTTTCTATGGCATCCCTTTAATACTGATTCTTCTTTTTGTGTTTTACGTGTTTCTTATGTGCTTGTTGCATCTCCGCTGGTAGTGAAGATGAACACCCAGTTGTTTTCGTTTTAGTATATTTGTTTTGGTATCCACTTTTTGTATTGTTTTTTGTTGAGCACCAACTGTTTGATAAAAATCCCCAATGACTAGGAAAAAAACTCTTACTGACAGGTTCATTTTCTTAATTGTTTTGTTATATATATATATATATATATATATATATATATATATATATATATAGAGCTAGGTTCATTTGTTTAAACTA